ACTTACTCACGTGCATCGACCGTTTCACCAGATGGCCCGAAGCTATACCCATCACGTCTATCACGGCGGAGACAGTTGCTCACCGCTTCGTAGAACGATGGATAGCTCTATATGGTTGTCCCTCGACCGTCACGACTGACCGAGGACAACAATTTGAGTCCGCACTATTCTCCTCACTTACTCGGCTGCTTGGTACGGAGAGAATACGCACTACCGCCTACCATCCAGCTTCAAACGGTTTAGTTGAAAGGTTTCACCGTCAACTTAAAAGTGCTCTTCGAGCACACGAAAACGACGACTGGTACGAAACCTTACCGCTCGTTCTCTTAGGTATCAGAACGAGTTTAAAGGCAGATATCCAATGTTCCGCCGCTGAACTTGTATACGGCACGACATTGCGTCTGCCCGGGGAATTCTTCACACCACGGAGCAGACATGATTTCGCTAAATCAGACTACGTCCAACGACTGTCTGCATTTATGCGAACGCTGTCTCCGGTGTCAACTCGAATACAACATCGACAGGTCGCTCTCCCTCGAGAGTTATCTACCTGTTCACATGTTTTCATACGAGTAGATTCGGTACGCAAACCTTTGCAACAACCTTACGAAGGCCCTTTTCGCGTGATCGCTCGTCACGAAAAGACCTTCAAGGTTGATCGACACGGCCGCGTCGAGATCGTCAGCATTGATCGTCTCAAACCAGCACACGTCGATGACAGTGCCCTATCTGATAACCTGAGATTCAATGCTAGACCAAGTAAACCTACTAGCGGGATCCTCAAATCATCTACAGGTCCCACGCTAGATACAACTGAGACCTCACTCTCACGTCCCAGTCAACAGCACGCGTCATCTGCACCGTCTACGGACGAGACGACAGTCTCACGTCCAGATCAGCAGAACACGCCGCCCTTGACTTCGGATGAGATTGCAGGCTCACGCGACGCGAACGAGACTGCCGTCTCACGTTCCGGTCGCCGAGTACGGTTACCCGTACGCTTCCTCGATTAGTCGCACAGTCGACAACCGATACGGTGTAGGAATATTCCTATGCTACTTGCATGCTACACTCTTCTTTTTTGATTTTCTTTTTGTTTCCTGAGCCCACGCCTTCGACCATCTCCGTTTGGTTCCGTCGACTTCAGTCAACTTTGGCGAAAGCTGGATTGGCCACCCATGCTCTTGTCAACGTTTTCAGTCGATATATTGGTTTCGAATGCTTGGCATACGCTTGGTCTCGAACTTGGTCTTTACGGTCGCTTCTGGTCTTTTGGCTCAACGTGGTTTCGTCCTACGTCTGCAGCGTTTCTGGTGCGCACCTCTACGAACGCCCTCTTCAGATTCTGGATACAAACCACTCTGGTGTAGCATGCCAACTCGAGCAATCAATGCAATACATCGCTCCTGGTACTGTTCTCCGAAAACGACCTTCGTTGGCAACTCGACGATCAACGATCGCTTTCCTGTTCGCCAATCTTTCCGTCCTACAATCGCTCGTCAGCCGATCAGTCCCACGATTCAAACCGCTATTTATCGAAAGTGTAAACCCTTTCTAGCGGGGGGCTCCTGTAGTGACTCACGTTTATCACGAGAACACGACTGGTTTAATAAAAACAATTATTATTATAACCAACTGTACCAGTGTTTGTTTTAATGTGCTTTTGTTTAACTGTGCTAATTGTAGCCATTTTGTGCTTCCATTACCTTCCATTATTGTTCCGCGGTTTTTGGTACTGCTCACACGTACTCCCGTTTCTGCTTTCACTTGTACCATTCCTTGGCACGATCTCGGTATTCGTTCAATACCACGAGATCGCCAACGAAATAAATCTGGTTACGATCGATCCTCGCCTTCTGATTTGTCTGGCACGTGTTTCTGGGTAGCGGTGTTCACAGTTAATCTCAACTCGACGCCACGCTACACCACTGAACGCATCTCTTACGGCCCACATTTTACCATGTTGTTACGGGGGAACTGAAGACATTTGGCGGACTAAAACCTTTTGTTGTATATTAATAATTTACTGTGATTTTGGATGTAATTGTTTTACTTAACTTTTGAACTCGTTTGTTTATATCATTATTTCGGACATTTTGGTTTGTCTTTGGTTTGGTAATTTGGTGTTCTCTTTGTCTTTGGTTTGGTATTTGGAAGTTTTGCTCCGGGAACCTACAAAATTGAAGGTTTGTTTTGTAATTGTTATAATTATTGTTGTTAGAACGACATTTGGTCGACTAATTGTAAATTACGAATAAATTTGGTATCTAAATTGGAATTAGGTTCTGTTGTTAATTTTGGTTCGTAATTTGCAAGTAGATCGATAGCCCGTACTTCAATAACTGGAACGAGCAAAACTTGGACGTAACACATGTTTAACTCAAATTTGAGAAAATCGCTTGAACGATGGTGTTTAATGTGTCAGAAAAAGTTTAACTGTAACATGTACTGAAGTTACCCTTAATGGACGGGGTAAATGTAAATGTGTATTTGTCGTTACTATCCAACAACTACAGCTGATCGTGGATGCCAACTAGGATCTGAACTGATTTATACTACAATTGAACCCTTTAAAAATCAGACAGCTGCGTGACTGAAAGATTGTGTCATGTCTGGAGGATTCCACAAACATGTCACAATCAACCAACGTACCACCACTCGTCTAACACAATTTTCAGTCCATTGAAAGCTGGTGCTACGTGAACTGAAGCCAAACCACCTCACTGTAAGACCATTCAACTCCTTAAAGAAACCGTATATCGTAAATCTCCCTCGCTGGATACAAATTCAAAATTCTACCTAAGTCAGTGAGGTCAATAGAACAACCATCAAACCCAGCCAAATTATTCATCAAACTGATTGTATCCTAAGAAGACTGATCAGACTTTGAATCAGAAATGAAAAGTCATGTAGTTCAACGAAGGCTGGCATGAGATGATGAGTAGGCACCAGGCTCGGCCAAAGTATTAGTAGTAATCACACTTTGTACTTCTACATTAACCTTAAGAATAAAATCTTTCTGGTAGAGTGCAGTCTGAGTTTTAATGGACCAGATCCATTAGAAATGAATGTAGAGGAGGCCGGTCAGCGAAATGATGCGACTTTAGTGTAATATATAGCAGGCTAATCTGTCGTATCATTATTGAACCCCATCAAGGAGGGCTTGAAACAAACCTGCTTTCATTCTACAGATTGGACCGACAAAAGTCCAATGGTTCATGCTAAGTTATTTTTCGATCTAACGATAAAGGTTTGATGCTAATACGTCAACAATAAACGCTTGTATGAAAAAGCTGCAAAAAACAGACTGATAGATCTATAGACTAAACGCTGTCTCGACAAATTTTAAAACTTTGCTTAGTGAAACGTCACACTATAAGAAGAGCTCAGGTTATCAATCAGGTTAAGAAAAATCGCGACAACAATTTTACTGATTAGTATTCTCTCAAATGCTCTTTGTCACTACCTAACTGGTCGTTGTTCACTTCGAATTTTATAATTTTACTTGCCATTAAGGTTACTGTATGTTCCCAAATATATAGGGAAAGTTGTCCACTTCAAGCATAACATCTGAGCTTCGTCGAATGTTAAGCTTTTTCTTCACATCTGACCTCTTCATGAGTTTCATCATGTGGATAATTGTTGAAGTGTCATATTTGTCAATGACCGTATTCCGATTTCATATTAGAAAAAATCCCAGTCGCTTGTAATTCAAAATTACTGTAAGTGCAATTATCATCCTTTTCAGCTTAATTACTTTACCTCTTACTCCTCGTGGAGGAGCATAGGCTGCCAACCAGCATTCTCTGTTGATTAAATTTAACAAACGTATACTGATTTTCTAATTGACTAGCATTTAAACGTGATTATTGTACTATTTTGTTTGCAGTATTTTTAAAACTTCATGTTTAGTTACTTTTTATGTTAAAACCAACGAATGTATTGGCGAGACTATAATTTATGGATGAACCAATCAGATGTAAAATAACAGGTTTCGGATTTTGGCGTGAAATTCATTCAGACATTTGACCAAATAGCGTTTTAACATTTTAGCTGATGTCAGTTCATGATAAAAACCCTGAATCTAAGTTATAAACCTAACTATCAATTGTAAGTCACAATCCTTATTCTTCACATATTTTTATAATCCTTATTTAACCCTAGTAGGTAGGTAAACATCCTCAACTTCACTTTAGCGTCCCTCAAAGGTCATCCACAAATTATAGTATCACCACTTTATCTTTCTAAATTTTTACTTGGTCAAAATGCAAGCAATCATCTGTTTAGAAATAATAAAATGTAATTTCGTCGATTCACTTGGTGTTGTTTATCTAACGCAATACCGAGGCAGTCTGCACAAGATACGCATATACCAATAAGAGACTGTTTAATCGCAGTCCTAAATAAAAATGTGGAGATGCGAGTAAACAGCACCAAATGAATTTAAAACTTCCCGTTCCACAAGCAGATGGCTATCAGGACTCAGTAGCTAAGTGGATAACGTGATGGCGTTTGAAGTGAACGATACTGGGTTCGAGTCTCGGAGTGAACATCAACTTTGAGATTCAAGTACATCCAGTTGAGGAGTTCCGTATAGAACGAGACGTGCATCCTGCATTCCACTGTTAGCCTTTATCTATCATTATTATTTTAACTGTTTATATCTGATATGACGAGAAGAAAAGTCAAAATTCAATTGATTTACTTATTATGAGTTTTGTTCAACATTAATTCCATTCTGATTCAATGTGATAATTACTCAGTGTAGTATTCGGTTTTGTTTTCTCGTATGATATTTTATTCTGTATAACATATGATATTCTTGTATTCCATTGACATTAATTATGATCAGTATGTGGTTTATTATAACTGAGTATTTTTCATATATGTGACTTCATCCTAATTATTAATCATCAAAGTGTGTGTACAATCAATATATAAATGAGTGTATTTTTGACTAGAGCGGTCGTCGTCTTGTTTTGGCGGTTAATATATATTTACTTATATTAGTCTTTATGTTCTTTACTTTTGTGTAGTGCGAATCGCAGAGATCTTTTGTTCCGAGTATAAGTGATAAACATTACCGACACAACAATCAGCGACGACCAGATATAACAAGTAGCATTCAAACAACAAAATATATCAATATCAAATTTTCAAATATAATACCAAGTAAAAACAAAACAAAAAAACAAAATATAAACAATAAAAATAATTTTAAACAACAACAACGACAACAAAAATCATCTTACATCTATATATGCACCAAGTTGTGAAGTTAAACCATCATGACAACATTTTAAATCATTTTGTATACAATTTAATAAACGATTTGTACATTGTAATTGTTTTTCATATATATTTAATAATTCATCATTTAATATAATATAATCGTCAGCAATAAATTTATTTTTTAAATCAATATAATTCATATCTAAATAATCTTTATATTTTAATCGTTCTTTATCTAAAGTTAGTTTCCAATGATAAGTTTGTTCTAATTCCGTTAATAATTTGATACAGTGATTATAAATTTCAGTTGTTGGAGTTTTCTGTTAGTAACAAATTATAAAGAGATAATAATAAAGATAATATTAATATTAATAATAGTAAGAAAGAAAATAACAAATAATTGTTTTTTCATTAAAAAAAACAACAAATAAACAAACAAAGTAGACTAATGAATAATGAATAATATCATGCACCAAAGCGATCGTGAGATTGTTAATTAGAATTTATTGTTATTATTATTATTATTATTATTATTATTACATTTGTATAGTCTTTTTATAGTTAGTTCTCAGTCGTTAATCATAATCTATGGGTAATTTTTTTTTAATTCTTCTACATATCTGTCAAATGCACAATCATCTTTCATATTATTGATCCGTAAATTATTTCCATCCTACTCGATCATTACGTTATCTCAAATTTCGTGGAGAAATGTAAGTTAGCATCACAAGTGGATTAAAATAGTTATCTAGCTCTCCATAGTATACAATCATTTGTTAGTTTATATTCGGTCATGATAAAAACCTACTTCAGTTTCATTGTAATAAAAAAACTTTTATCTAAATGAATTATTTGAAAAATATTTAAATATTTTAATAAATATAAATATCTCTTACGGTATAATCAATTAATAACTGTTGCGCTGTACTAAGTTGCTCTTCTAGTAGAGTTGCTTTATGAAATTTTTTATCCAATTTTTCATTGGTTTCATACCATAAACTCTTAAATTAAAACAAAAAGAAACAAAAAAATACAGACATTAAAACAGTTGTGCTAGTATTTAATTAAGAAGATAGTAGACAGTTCGGAGGGTGAAAACAGTCTTTCTTTATATGTTCGGATTATTTAGTAATGTAAAGATACGTTGATTAAATTCAGTAAAAAAAATAACTGCCTAATCTTTGAAAAGAGAAATTGTGAGTTTCGAATCTTGAAAAACGTATTCACATATGTAGATATATATAGATGACCAATCTTCAGTTAAAAGAAAAGCACTCACAAGATGTTTTTTCACTCATCAAAATAATTCCTCTTAAATTAAATCAAAGAGATATATATCCACGATGTTTATGATCTTCTAAATGTGAGGACTGAGAATACTACCGTATGTTCCAAAAAAGTAAACGAAGTAAAATTCCAACCTAGGTCTCAGGTCCATGGTTCGTTTAGATTGTTGATTTAAATGGTGAAGAAACGAATCCCGACATTCTGATACTTTTCTATGCAGATGTATCATCACTTTTCTGCACACATTATTTATCCTGAAATAAACTAAAGGCGCTATAAAGATTTCACGAATATATTTGAGTCATTAATATAGTCGACAAAAATTAATTTATCTACATTTATAAAAGTAACCTACCTGCAAATTTAACAAATCTTCGAGTCGGTCAGATGAGCTACTATTTCCACCGGTCACAATTAAATCTCTCAGTCGTGCTTCCAGATATAATCTTTGTTGTGCGAATAACTGTCAAATATTGAGATTAAGCATGTAAAATAGAAAAAATCTCATTATGCATGAAAAAAACAAATATTCAATGGCTTTCTATAGGGAGAGTTGATGAAATTTAAACTTTTCCCAGAATAAAAAGGATCAAAAATAACAAATATAAAAGATGTAGGTATACATTTCAAACTGGAATTAAACAACACCACTTTTCTTTGCACCATATTACTCATAAGTAATGAGTACCTAAATGTATATATAGTGCCTGAAAATAAGACAAATTGTTTTTGTAAATTTATAAAGCTATAATATGGTATTATGATTGTGATAATTACTTCATTTATCAGCCGTTCTATGCCAGCCCAAACACACAACTACTTAAGCAATATATAAGTATGTAATGCAACTATACTACTGAAAAAAGTTTTAAGTAGTTAAACTAAAAATACAAAATTGGAAAGAAACAGTCACACAGCCAAAATGAATATGTACGTTTATTTATATACATTTAAAACAAATAAATACTTGTATTATACATACCCCCTTTAGCACATATAGATATATTCGTATACATTTATAAACATTTAAAGCGAATTTCAAAAACCTGCTCATACACTCATTAGGCAAGCAAACTCTGTTAATTGATCAAATAGTTACATGTCAAGAATTTATTGATAAAGAGGAAAACAACATAGGGTAGGGAATTTCTGTGGAAAAATTTTGTAACTATAATGAGTTATAGAGAAAATCATTATGATGGTTATATACTAGTGATCGATTTAAAACTGAAATAGTAATCAAAGTCCGCCTGTCATATATCAGATAAACCATTATAATTAATATTTCCGTGTTTATTTTCAATAAGATAAAGTACTCTAACACATTCTATAATAAGAGGGACAATTGTTTTCATTGAATTTTATGATGAAAAATTAGGAGCAAAAGGGTTACGCTCAAAAATTCATTAAATAATGATATTCCTCCAATCAATAATTCATTTATTTTAATGTACAGAATGGATAAAAGTATTTTATGACAAAATATTGTAATTTACTCGTCACAAATTTATGTTTAAAACTAGTCACGATTTTGTAGGTTCAATAATATAATCGATAAATTCCTAAACTTTTTGGCGCCTTAATACTTAAGGAATCAAATATGTATTTACTGGGTCAAAATTTAAAATATTACTAATAAGCTTAGTCTGTTAATTCTCTGAGTAACTCCCCCTGGAGTCCCTCTGAGACTACTGCCGGTCCCAAGCCCGGATAAAGCAAGTGGGTCGGTCACGGAATTAGTTACCTCATCCCGAGGAAAACTAACTTGCTAAAACAACGCTAACCAGAAAAAATTATTCAAACCGATTCTCTGAGTAAATATATTTCGTTTTATCCAAATTTTTTTCTCTTTTGTTTGTTACTTGCAATAATAATTTCACTAATTGTCTTACAATAAAATGTTGTCTTGATCTCTGTAAAATCTTACCAATGAATTTCACTTACTAAGTGAATCATACAACTAAAATGATGGTTGACAATTGATTTGAATGGAATATTGAACTAATTATTCAATACTTTTACATTTCAATCCTCCTAAAACTCAGACTTCCTATCAATTTTAGTCAGTATTTTAAATTTAATCTAACCAAACAGGGTAACCGAATTCCAGAAATTGTGCACCATAGAAATGGTTGAATACACGAAACGGCCACACAACACATAGCTACACACTCAATTACTATAAAAACAAACATAACAAGTATGAACAATTAACTTTTCAATTTACAGTAACTAAGATACCCCAATATTGATTATAATAATTTTTAAATTGAAATCTAATCAAGTAAAAAAAGAAACCTAAAGATGAATTGAGGATTAAAAATATATCCTGAGAACACATACAGTAAAAGCGGCTAAAATGAATTAAAATTAAATCCAAACAAACAAGTGACAAAATAGCTATATAATTCTATATATCAGGTAACATAAGCGTAGTCAGATGTTAAAAGAGGAAAAACAAACATTGTTTCCATGTTAAGAAATCCCTTATTGTATTCTTCTGTAACACATACACACATGTACATATGTATACTCATAAACACACGCATACTTACAGATTCTGTAAATTTGAAGTAGGTCTAGTTAAAATAAAACGAATTAATTAATGTGCAAATGAAAATGTCACTATTAAAATTTTTAAATAAAACATGCAATAATAATAATAAGGAATAAGGTAACTGTTAAATTTAGGGATCTAAACAGCCACTAAACTGTATCACTGAGTATTTGAGGTTTCCCATCATAGACAGACATTGGTTAGATAATTATTAGAAATCAGAAATCACTGGTTAATTATTTTGTTCGAATATGCGACTTCTTATCAGTTATAACTAAAGCTCCGCTAGGGATCTTTGTAATTCTTACCAACAGAGGAAAAAGATTGCGAAGGGTTCAAAAACTTAAACTAATCTATCACTGATCATTCAGTAAATTGTTACACTTTATAATTTATGATAAAAAATATGTTAGACTCACGTGCTGATTTTTTTAACAAGTTACGCCTTTGTATATGATCATTCATTCAGTATAATGTCACTTACACTTTTAAAAAAATCTTTCATTTTGTTGATTAATTTCGGTCAGTTAACTATACGTAGTGTAGAATCTAGCACATATGTGCATTAAATCAATTTGTCATGCCACATCTTGACAACGAAATAAAATTATCAAGACAAATTTTCTGAGTTATTTGAGGCGTAGTGTCTTACACATAAGAATATTCGTAGTTAGTCACTTTGTTTTGATGCTCTATAACTTATTACATATGCAATGGCAATTTAGATGACTTCAAGGACTGACAAAAAATCATAAGCTGCGTTAAATGTCAGAGTTATAACCTTTATCATTTGTTGAAATCGTGAACCGATCAATGTAAGACCACTGTTGAAAACCTGGTAGCACTGGACAGTCGTTTCGTCCTAGGATGAAACTCCTCAGCAGTTTGCATCTACGATCATGCACTCAAGGCTTGAACCAAAGTTCCATGGTCTCGTGCGAACGCCTAATTTCTAGACCACTGGACCTGGAACCGATTGTGTCAATGTATATATTCACGGTATTGCGCGGCCATTCTCCATTGTCTTTGGTAGGTGACTCCCTCACACTCGACACAGTTAAACTCAACTGGACGGGGATTCTCACTAGAACTTCGAGAATTACTTCTCGAAGCTATTTGTTAGTAAACACATGTTTATATTATATTGTCGATTGTTTAAAGTTAGTCATTAACACCAATGGGCACAGGCTTAGTAATCTAGAGGTTGGGCGTTCGCGCGCGAGACGGAGGAACTGTAGTTCTAGTTCCAACTTACGGTATCGTGGATGCACACTGTTGAGAGGTTCCGTACTAGAAAGAAATGATCGTCTAGTGCTTCTGAGTTTTTAATTGTGATATAACATTGATCAGTTCATGATTTCAATGACATTCAACAATCTTCACAACCCCATACTAAAAATCTTTTATTCGCATTAGTTGTTTGCCATCGCTCAAGCCAATGGCTATCTAGACTCAATAGGTAGGTGGATAACGCGATAGTACTGAGTTCGAGTCCTGGATTGAACATCAACTCAGGGATGAGTCTTGAATCGGACTAAATTCACGCCCTCCATTTCTCTGCTAGCCGCTATTCATCTAACTTTTTTCTCACCTTGAATATGACTTGTATGATGAATAAACATTGAATTTTCTACACCAATATCGTTGATCTAGTGTATCGATTTCAAAACGTGTTTTATTATAAAATCACCTTTTGAAATCACTCAACTATACACATAGCAAACGATAAATGATTGACTCATGACAGGATTGCTTCCCATAATCTCCGTAAATATCTGTGAGAATGTACTGCTTTCTTCGACAGATATGTTTTAGAGGATATCATATCTCTCTTTCTCTCTTGTCAATAAAAGCATTAATGAAATAAATGGTCTTATCAATAGAAATATTAAGTGATTAATTTATTTCTTATAATAAATTTTGAAATTAATTTAATTTGAAATTAAGATTGAAAATTAAGTGAATGATTCAATACAATATGGATCCAGAACTATTCATGTGAAATAAATTTAAAATAACAAGTATTATAGTTAGATAGGGTGTTCTTAAAATGTTTTAGTCTACAGGTAGCATACATCACGGAATGACTAACTAGACAAAAATTTAAAATTAATTGCCAATAGACAGCTACTTCATCCCAGTTCGCCAATCAGCTGTGATCAGTCACAACCCTGACAGAAGAGGGATGAAGAATCTTCGGATCTGATGCTTCTTCCAATACCTTGGGTTAATCGAATAGTAGTTCAAGGATTTACACTTGTAACCTGGCTCAACTGGTGTGATTGGATGACTGTTATTTTGTGACTGAATTCATTTTTCGTGATCTAAGTTATCTTTAAATGTAAGTATGTAAACAGTGGTTACCTGATCTTTATGAAGCTAATCTAATCGCTTAAACAATCAATAATTGTGAGCAAAAAGTAACTATGCATTTTTACTAACACTATTGCTGTGTGATAAAATGATGACATGTGTAAAGCAGACCGAAATTTATTTTTAAAAAGAACTATCTTTTCATTTTACCGAGATAACTGAACTTGTTAAAAACTGGTTTTAAAAGGTAGAAACTACAACATATTTCTTGTCTAACATACACAGTTATATTGAGTATTTACAAATTATCCAATGAAAAAATATTTGAAAATAATGAAATGCATTATCCAAACTAATGCGCTACATTCTATACTGATTGTTCAATATCACAATTTATGGAAACATTCTTTAATGAAAGTGATATGTTTCAGTTTTACCCTTAACCTTATCACAACCATAATTGATCGTTTAAAGAATAATTCAACTTAAAGGTTTTTGTGCAATCACACAAACAGACTGTCATCGAAAATGTGTATAATCAAATATATTTTGCTAGAATATTTCAGGATTTCTTCTAAAGCATTTTAAACATGATACTTTAGTTAATAAATCAACTTAGAATATACTACTTCATGTTTCACACTGCTACATTCCCTTATTCTTCAAATTACCTGTAACAAAGTTTTCCTTTCAGAGACTGAAGTTTCAAGAACCATGTTGTCTGAACAATACTGATAGTCTTCGTTACATGAATCAGTTTGTGATAAAGACAATGGTCCACTGGTTCCCAAACAATAACAATTAAAATTTATAATTCCATTGAAATGTATCCGGATTTCTCGAGCTAAATTCTGTAATGTTGGTGAAATTTGTGCATCAGATTTTAAAAGATTATCAATTAGACGATTAATTGATAATAAGTAATCACCGGATGATTTCTTGATCGTTGGATTTGAATAGACATCGGCCTGGAATTTTGAGAGAAAAAAAGTGTTAACTAAAAATGTATACGACCTAGTTTGTAGGTATCAGTACCGAGGGTCAATTTGATAAAATAAACTGAGAATTTTGTAAATTGTTAATAATAAAACTAATGGTATTTTGTATTGTCTCCATGATTAGAAAATTAAATGTGTAACGTTTAACAACGTAGTGTAAGCTGCATCTTCAGAGAACTTGTTGAACAGGAGTAGGCTATTGTGACCAAACAACCTAGTGGATAACGATGTGTTGTTTAAAGTAAGAAGTGTTATCTTACAGTTTCAATGAAAACCTCAACATGAATGCAATTATATGTAAATGAAAACCTGGGGATATATATATATATATATTGATAAAATTTTACTGATTCTAAAATAATCACACGCGGCGGTAATCTAACCGTGTGTAATGTAAGTGAATCGAACGTGGGAGAATTTCTAAAAATAAACGGACTGTAATGCTTTTATACTGCAAATCAGCAGAATCTGAGTAGTAACTAATGTCAGTTCCTTATGATGAGTATCAACTATCAGGAAATTTAGACTCTTTGTTTTTTGGCGACTGAGTTTAACTAACTACTAATAACGGCGCCGTTGGGAGTATATTCAAGAGAGGTGAAAATACTGAAATAACATCATTATTCACAGCACAGTAGCCTGATCCTTCTGTGATATGAATGTTGTCGGCTGATTGACGTCGACCACACAAAACACTAACTACTATACATAAATTTGCATTGAAAAGTTAGACTTCTTAATTCTGTAGACTGATACGTTTCGTTTCCACATTTCTCTGATTATATCGCACTATAGTGTTACAATCACATCAAACTTTTTCCTTTCCTAAATGGTTTTTGAACTTTAACAATTACACAAACAGTAATTCACATGAAATATCGCAGTTGTTATTTTATAACATTGTCTACTTCAGCCAGAACTTGTTTCTCCATGGTTTATTTTGGGGATTGTAGTACAATAATTGTGGTTTAATTACTGTATAACCCTAGGTTGAAATCACTCCGAGTAATTGTTCTTTCAACTATTCTTTTTTTCCAATAACTGATTTGTGCAAAGTCTCTAAGATTCTCACTAGCTACTTTGCAATTTTATGGTAAAGAGAATTGTACATATCTAGAACTGGGCGTAGAGGAAGACCCAGTTTATGAAATTTAGGCAGACTGTACAGTTGTGGTATATATAATGCAGTCGGCTTAATTGGATCATGAATCTCTGTCTTAATTCTTCCCTTTTTCTTTAGATCTTTAAGAGAATTAGCCAATTGTTTTTCTACTTTATTATTGATGTCATAATTACTAGTAATTTTTTGAAATTTGGTTATCCTGTGAGGATTTTTAAATTACTCAAAGTTATCAAATATTAACTGAAGAATCTTAAACTAATTGTTTTGATTATATCTTATCAAACTAACAGGTTCCTACTATTTACATTTAATGTAAACTGAAATCAGGAACAATATAGAAAAGACACCAAATTGAATATCTGGCCCATTGTAAATTTTAGAAAGACAACAGGGTTATATATAACTAAAACACATAAGTAGTTAAGTACTAATAATGTCAATCGAAAGGTTTCTTTTGACATCATCCTTCTGATTATATTTTGATCCAATAAGAGTTTGGGTAATGGTATGAAAATCACAGCTAAACTGTTATTAAAAAGTTTGTTTGGATATCAACAATACAGTGTTCTATTGTTTGATAATAAAAATAAATAGAACCATCTAACTTTATCAGGATATTATCTTCGAATAGGATTTTTTCCCTAAATATTTATTCTATTTGTTTACAGCGTTTAACCAAAACCCGTAAATTTATGCTTCATACAATGTTCATCGTATTTATAAAAACTTATCATCAGGAACAGTGGGATAGCGAAGAATAATTAACCATCTGTCGTAAATGATATAAGAATAAAAAACAAATATTCAATTTTAAGTCGTTCTTTTATGTCTGTAGCCAAGATTTATTTATGTGAACAATCAGAACTTTGTTGTTACATCCATGGTGATCTATATTATCTGATCACTGTAGTTAACCGTGAATAATGTAGTGATAATAATCAACGAAATAATTACTAATGCATTGCTTTGTCAAATTTTTTAAACTGATAGTGGGTATTTTTACATTTAAGACTAATATGATTTCTGTTAAAACAATCAATTTTATAGTGTACTAAGTATTCAAAAGGATAAATTCACTTTTCATATAGAATCAACAATCATAAACATGTAGGTATTTTAAAGACTAATTAGCCTCTTACTATAACAATAATTTCTTACCGTAAGTTTATCAATTAATTCAGGTGTATGAATATTGCGTAATTTCAGTTGGTTTATAGAATTTTCTAATAATTCATTACATTTCGTATCTTTTTCTACTTCATCCATTTGTGATTGAAATATTTCTTTAGCCATGATCACTCTATGTAAATGATCTTCAATTTCATTAAATAATTCAGCAGTTAACTCTGGTTTGTCTTCTGGTGTCAATAATTTCAATTTATTAGCTACTTGTCTAATCTGAACAACTGAACCATTCTCTTGGCATAAATGTGTTAACTGTAGATAAATTTTCTAAATAGTGAGATGAAAAAAGTGAATGACGAATTTAATCACTTAATTATTGTTTAATAAATTACACTGTTTTGATGAAATAATGTTTCTAGTGGATTTTTTCTGCCTCAGATGAATTCAGTGTTAAATTAATAACATAAAGCTACCCTGAAGTATATCAAATTTCCTTTAATGATCCTAATCTATACTACTTATTGTTAGCCAGTAGCCCGGATATTTAATATTATGAAACGATTGTTTTATTGTGGCGTTAAAACCTATATTCTGATGTACTAAAGGTTGAATATATTTCATAGGATAGAATTATTTGGAAAGAAAACATACATTTTCACTCCGATAATGAAAGCATAGAGATTTAGTGATGTGTAAATTACACTTACATTTTCTCATGGTTAAAAAGTACTGATGGGAATAGTCCTATGAACGATATGCTTAAATGATACCAAAATTTGTCTACAGATGATGTCCTCAAACTGTTTATCATTGATTATAAGCACGAATGGGATCGAATAAATATAGTGAACTACTCGAGAACTAGATATTACTGATTTAATTAAGGTAATACACCGTTCATAATATATATTTAATAATTACTCAGATAAATCCATTAATAAGTAACAGTTAACTGTTCGACACTGAAAATAAATATTCCATAACTAAAAACAATCCCGCTGTGATAATTCTAGCCGGATCAAATTAAGACCACCTTCAAAGAGTGAATCTTTTTTTATTTCTAGGTGACACAAAGTGTTATTTCTAATTGACATCTAGAGATAAACATTTTTACAATATTTTTTTCATTAAATTGATAGTATAGTAATTTTCAACTATTCGAATCGGAAAATAGTGAATTCGGAAAGTCTATCACTCAATTGTCCACCATTTCAATATTCTAAGAACAAGTTATTTTCCAACACTGAATAAGAATTCAGTGTATTCCAGTTCATTAATTAAAAATTCACGCACTGATCACCATCTTTTGAAATATTAAGATTGAGTCGAGACTAAAGACAAAAGTGTGAACGTTGCTGACTAATTTTTGGCTAGAATGAATTACAAATCCGCATAGTTCTGCCAATCTTCACTGATCCTAGAATTTATGTGAAGTTTTGAATTTCAATTCATTTCTGTAAACTAATCAATTTATATAGTTTATGTATACAAACACAAAATACATAATTAAAAAGAACTTACTTGAATCAAATCTTTTCTTGATACAGGACAATCAGCTGTTTCTAAGTAATCAGTTACTTCTTCAACACTTAACAAATTTTCATTAATTTGTGACATAAGCTGTTCTAGTTCTTCAATTAATGGTAAAGCTTTATCTAAACGTTCTAGTCCAGACAAAATTTGTAAAACTAATTGATTATGTTTTTCAGATAGCATGCTTAAACATTCATTGTTTAATTTTTCATTAGTATATAATGATTCATCACTATCCATAATATTTAACAAATCAGTTTTTAATTCATTCAGTGTTGCAAGCATTGTCTGTAAGTCATAAAAATGGAAACAAATCAAGAAAATTTATAGTGTTTGTAATCATGAAATGTAAATGAACGCTGAATATCGTTTATGTAAATTGTAAGTTTTTTGGATTTTTTTAAATAAAACATGCAAATGAAATCCGATTAAGAAATAACTGATGTTATTGTAGTACATCTAATAAAATATTTTACAGTAAAATATAATGTCTTTTGCTTGTATAATAAGTTTCGCAACACATTGAGTACAAAATCATTTACTAGATTTTGGGCTGTACCATATATTCGAGGATTAATGGTACAACAAGGCTTAACGAAATAACGTAAATGGAGCGACTCGAATTCGAGACCCAGTTTTTGGATATCTTAACCAGTAAGACGCCATATAACAAATAAAGTGAAAGTCATAAGATAATCAGAATAAAGTATACCAGTTGTGTGTAGTTAAGTTGTTGTGTACTTGTATGGCTAGAAAAGTAAGAGTATTGAGCTATTCCCCTAATCAGCTTCCTTCATTACCATTGATTAGATGTAGTAACACGCAGTAATTGATAGACTTCACAGGACATGATTTGTGATTTAAATTTCGAAAAACATACATCAAAACTAATTGACGGTGAACTTACTGTTAATATTAAACGAAGTGATTTTATGGAGAATCGTAGATATTTTGAAGGTAGTTCATATGAAGTATGTGTTTCTGTATACGTACTTACTTACGCCTGTTACCCGTCATGGAGGAGCATAGGGCGCCCACCAGCATCCTCCATTCAACCTAATCTTGGGATGTGTATACGTATTGATGAGGAATTTAAGACTAACAAATTAGCTGTTCATTAGTCAGTAAATTTTAGTTATTTCTCACTTAATGTCAGTTTGTGATAAAAACTGTTTTCAAAAAATATTGCGAATTATCTATGAAACCAATTTGCTGAATATTATTGATTATATAAATAAGCTTTATTACATTCACATAAAGGTATATAATGATCAACATTATCAATTTTAATGTATCAACCTCAATCAAATTAATTGAAGTAATAAACTTACTCGTCCACTACTAACGGCTGCTTTAATATCTTCTGGATCCACAGATGTAACATCTAGCCTACAAAGTTTGTTTTCAATTTGTTTTAATTCCATGTTTAATTTATTTAACTTCGACTGATGAACTGAAGGATTTGATAGTTGAGGTAAGATTTTACTCAATGGTTCAACACGTTCCTAAATTCATATCGTATTCATTATGTGAAGTAGTATTTATTTACAATAACAAAAAAAGATAATGGTTAGTATATATGTCTAAAGTATATAAGCATTTAATAACAAACAATAAATTAACTTCGAACATAGACAACATCAAATCACATATGAATGTAATCCATTAAAAATTCATCATAATCTTTCAGTGATTAAAAATTGACTATTATTACATGAATTATTCAAATAAACAGATAAAATTAGGTGGATCTTTAAGGCAAGAAAACTATATTGAAATTTATTGTATAAAAGTGAACGAGTGGACCATAATGATATGTATCATAAACGAAATCAAAAAATGCCAATCATTAAATCAGTAATTAAATGTTAGATATAACAAAAGATGTAATTAAAAATCACAGTCTCATTTTAATCCTGCTTCTATCTGGGCACCCCGGATAATATCATGCCCCATACACAAATCACGTGACTTGTGTGACGCATATATATTCTGTGCCCCTTTGTACCAATATTTATGTGTTCAAATAAATCAGTAAACAAATAAATATAACTCATTTTAATAAATCAAAATAGACACTGTAATGTACTGAGTAGATTTTAGATGCACTCCAATTAACTAGTCATAGGTTTCCATTAATAAACTTACTATAAATCCTTAATTCATCTCTCTATATGTAATCATAATTAGGGAATATCTATCTAATTAAAGTTAATATCCATCAAAACAGTTATTTCACTGAAATATGAAATATTTCAACAGATAAAGATTTTCCGGTTTTCAAGATTCTACAAAACTACTTTTGTAAAAGTTTATTAGTTAAATAGTTAGCGTTGAACAAGTTACCTTATTTGTTATTGTTTAACTTATACGTAAATGTCGGGAGTATTTCTCATTAATAACACCATAATATGTTCCAATTTAACTCACAATTTAGTATTTCAGTTGAAACTTACATAGTAAAATACAACTCTTACGGTTCATATTCAATCTTAAGAATAACTGGTAGTGTATAGCAAACGACAAAGCGAAAAATATCATTTTGTAAATAAATCTGCAATTACTTCCTCTGTATCAGTCTAGTGCATATATGCATTATGTTTCAAGTATAATTGTACGAAATTTTTCATTCTCACTTTGAATTTTTAGCCTGATAATAATCCGATTAATTTAGTGATAAATTAATTTACTACTAGATAAAGGGGAAAACTTTTAGCTCAGATGGATGATTATGTTGGAGTTTGCTTGCAATTACCAATGTAAACAGCTAGCCTACATCAAGTTATCTGATTACTAGTAACTCTGTTGTAATGTGTGTTACTGATGTCGATAGATATAAGTAGGATGTACCACCGAATTTAAGTGGAATACGTGGCGGCAGAAAGTTGAGGAAATCGAAAAGAAGAGAATGAGAACCGAGAGTGATTGGTATGGAAATGAAAGAACAACAAAGTCTATGACAAGTGATGGATATTCTGCAAATGAAGTATTACTGTATTGTTCTCAGATTTTACCGAGATATTCTGTAATATCGTATTAAGATAAATTTGGTTGTTCCCCCTGGTGTTCTCTTTCATTACAATATCGAGATCATTTCTCAAATAAATCTATACTCAATTTGATTTTGAAATTTGTTGCGTTTATATAAAACACTATCAAGTGAGCTGGTGTGACTAAGGCGACTTTATCTATAACTGATTTGTATAACATCAACTTATAACTGTATCATAAAGTTAGAAAAATCCACATAGACTCATTGCAGTGGGACTAGTCTGGACAAATTAATGTTCATGATTAAATCTCTGTTAATATTTTTATATTGCAAAACCGTTACATTAAATGAGATAATTTGAATTTTACCTGTAATTGAGCTTTATAACTTTCTAGTCGATTGGTCAAACAGTCAGTACATGAATGTAATGAATTATATTCGATCATTTCATCTAGATCTTTAATTAAATTATTTGCACTTTTTATACGTGTTTGCAATTTATTTGTTAACACACTGATATCACCGGTAGATTGTGTATTGAAAAAGTAGTTATCCAAATCATCTTCAATGTTCAATAAACTGGTCTCAATTTCTGTAACACGTTCATCAACTGAACGTAATTGGTCAAGTAAACTTTGAAGATAAGCAGTTGTAGAATCAATCTAATGATTAGAAGAAAGGTTTTTAATATTTAAAAAAATTTCAATGATAGGTCAGTAAATTCACTGTCGAGAACTATCCATATTACTTTTAGCCATTTAGTGACTTCGAAGAATTTCACTAATTTAATTAATCAAGTATTTGGAACATTAATTCTATTGTTTCATCTTTCCTATGAAATTCTAGATTTCCTAGGTCAACAGTACCTTTAACTATCTATAAACAGATTGACCTTCAGAGTAAAGTTTCTTAATTAGTTTCCTTGTTTTAGTTTCGTTTGGAGTTCGACTGTAAAATATTAAAGGGGATCTAGGAATCACCCAGAAAGTTAACGTAACTGGCAATTACTGTATCTGACTAAATATATAAAACAGTATATATTTGGTGAATGGTGTTGGTTACTTTCTTATGAACCAGTCGATTCCTGTGACGTCACTAGAACACAGTTTTCATAATTGACTGATATCTACTTGAAAACCATTATTAACTAGAGAAAAATTACCAGTTGTTTCATCATTGTTTCCGATTTGTAAACACTTTCAGTCTCTTAAGAGGCTGAGAACGGTCTCTATTTTTCAGTGATTATACGGTTGATAATAGTCAATGAAAAATTAATCAGCCACGGGCTGGTTTGCTAACTAATTATAATGTATATCTCAGTGGAAACAGAACTCATAGTGATCAAACACATATAATCGATCCTACTCTCGATTGTCAGTATACGGTTGTGGAGATTGCTAAATTTCATTGAAATCATGAAACGAGGAATGTTAGACCACCACTGAAAACCTGAGAGCACTGAACGCCTCGACAGTGCCTAGTTACGACTTCGCATGCAGGAATCGAACTCATACTCGTGTGACAACGCTTAACCTCTAGACCACTGAACCGGCATCCGAGGATGTAAATGTCTGACTTCAATCAATCCATGATATTGCATGACCATCTGCCATTGTCCTCGGTGGGTAACTACCTTACACACTGTTCGATAATTTAAAAACAATGTTCCAAATTATTGTGAGCCAATTAAAGCATTTAGAAAACTTCTAATGAAATTTGGAAGCCAAAACACATATTTTTACTTATTTCGACTGATAAAGCAACTAAGTAGTTATTACTTTTAGCATTCTCATAGGACTGTTCACAACTCTAAGGTCAATTCTAGTCAAATAAGTACCCCTATGATTTGTATAAATGAAGTAATTTTGGAAGTAAACCTTTCGTCATATTAATTCTTTCCGAATTTATTTGGGATTCGTAAGTCATAGGTTTGTGGAAGTCTAAAATCAGTTAAGAAATTATGGTCACACGTATTTGGTGCACCAGGCTTAAAATCTAGTCGAAATAAAACATTACTCATTCAATCACTCTAATTAGAATAAGTATACTTAATCTTAGTATGTATGATCTTAGTTATTTTAGTAAATAACGCTTATAATTTTAATACACTAAACACATGACTCATACAGTTTCGACAAAATAACACGTCCTGATTGACGTGTTCAACTAAACAATGAAACTTTTTTTTGGCAGCTATTCACTTTTATAAAAAATAAGTCAACGAGAAAGAAAAACGGTGATGATTGTGAATATCTCCTAATTTTGAACTACAGCGACAAGAAATATACAGAGAAAAAAACATTATAAACAACGTACAAGTAATTTCTTTACGAAGTACACTTACTTCAACTTTAACTAAGGTTAGTTCTGTTTTATATATTTCAAGTTCTTTCATTATTGCACTACCCATAACGCATGATTCATGTAATGCATTAGCTAATTTATTTAAGCGTTCTTCATCGTCGATTGTATGTTCTCTTGATAATCTGTCAAGGGACTGGAATGAGAACAAAATAAGGAACTATCTTCTCGTAGGGATATATATATCAACATAGGGATTTGTGGAGATTGTAGCATTTTCATAGTTGAACTCACTAGTCGATCTAAGGCAGAACACTACTGAAAATCTAGAAGCACTGGACGACCGTTTCGTTTCACACGTGGGACTCGAATCCGGGACTTCCAGTCTAACACACGGACGCTTCACCTCGAGACCACTGAGCCTGAATCCAACAGTGTTAATGTCTGACTTCAGTCGATTCACGATCTTGCGCAAACCTTCATCCGTTGTCTGAGGTGGATGACTGTCTCACACCCGACACAAGTTGGACTCCACTGGTCACAGTCCTTCACTAAAACTTTAGAAATCCATCTTGAAGCTGTTCACTAGTGAGCACATGATTATTATCGGTATGAGGATTTGTGGAGACCGATTGGAGTTAGACACTAACACCGTTTGTAACAAAATGTAATATCGAGACACTGCTTGGGATACCCGTATGTCACTAGTGACCGATAAATAACTAGACAACTCAAAAATTTAAATATAACTGTATTAACTAGGGGAGATCTAGATCCAGTATTCAGTACGTGATCGGCACTTAGATCCAGGTACATCCAGCTAGTGAGTTCCAGATAGAACGAAATGAGCATCCATAATTCCACTGATAGCCGATGTTCAACCTTATATATCATATACTTAGTTTATTATCATTGATATTCTTTCCACATGATTATTTTTCTTCATTTTCTCTTGTTTTATTTGTTTAAGTTACGGAAAGTTTAATTAACAAACAATTATGCAAGATTTTGTAGTAGGTTTTTTTTAACTAATCTGGTAATCTTACGCTTTTATGTAAAGATTATCATCATAGAGTTGGATAATCATATTTAAAATTCTGTTCATACAGTTCCTCATTTGACTTATGATGATGAATCTTATCTATCAATTGATTTTTTAAGATAAACTGTAAAACAGAACAATGAATTCATTTAATTAAGTGGGTAATAATCATTTTTATTATTGATGATATTCAATAATTAGTTCAACTCATTAACATGACCAGACTTTTTAATTATGTTTAAACTTGTTGTATGATGGTTAGATAAATCACTCAGTAACAAAAACTAAGATATATTCAACGCGATTTTATCCAATGGTACACTGACTTAAAATAAGAGTGTTTACACTGATGAACAACGGTCTTGTTCATTTTGATCGAAGCATATACAGATATTTTGTGACTGAAAATATCTCATAATCAATGAAAACCAGGATAATTCATAAAATGATTAGTATTTAAACAATCGATCACGTTTCACAGGTTCTTCCTTTATTTTTCTTACTGATTAGTATGATTTGTTAAAGCATTCAGCTTTCAACCGAAAAACCACAGGTTTGAACCTCGCACAGCCTACTTTAGTTCAAGCACCTGGATAGTATTACAACCCATCTAAACTTAGTAAACTAGGGTTTGCACTACCAATAAGTTATATTAAATTATCTCTAATTGCTTTTGAATAATTTTCAGCTTAGAAAACAAAAATAGTTTAAACTTACTTCTAAATCATCTGTTATTTCACTAATTTCCGAATAACTACTATTTTTAACACGTTCATTATTTGTTCTAACAGTTTCAAACCATCGTTTTTCACTATTCAATACAGCTATTTTCAAAAGATATTAACAGACAATAACTCATTATTATAATAATGATGAAAATATTAACAAAGAGATAATTGAGAAATAGGAGATATTATAAATTTATTACTGTTTATTAAATCTATTGTAGGCTTTACTGAGAGTTCAGCTAAAATTCTATTCACTCTTACATAAACATTAGATGAAATATTAAGTTATTCAATGTTTTCAAGTGTTGATTAAAAGTTATTGTATGTACAATACTATCCTTTAAATGGTTACTTGTAATTAATGTGATTGAATCTATCTATGAAATGATGATAACGAGAGAATCGCATTAAATAATATACATGGAACATAGACCTTAATCCTTTCCAACTAATTACTATTGATCATAACCTCTAGAATATCAGAAAATAATAAATGACCAATGATTAGAAGAATTATTATCTTATAAATGTATAACTTGTTATAAAAAGAAACTGAAAGTTACAATAAGAAAAATAATTAGACGGTTCACAGTGATTGATTCGAGAACAGAGTAAACTATCCAGTAGAATCATTTGGACCGTGTAATAAGAAAAAAAATCTTAAACTGATATTAAAGGATTTCTGCTTCATTAGTCAACAGTCTACAATTTCTATACTGAACTAAATCATTTCCCGTAGATATTTTATCTGTGATACTTCCAACAACAATGTATTGCTACCTAAATTGAAGCTTCTTTTGTCTATTTTTCCACAAATATTGATATACCGAGATACAATAATGGCTAGATTGATTTTCTTCGGTTTATCACATTAGAACTTATCTGTTTACTTTTCCAGTTAAAATATTTACTTCATAGAGATCTGTCTGAAAATTTGATTTGGTTACTTTCGGGATGAATCAGAAATATAACTCGATAATTTAGTTATATTTTCAAGTATCCAAATTTAATAATTGATTGATTAAGTGTAAATTATAGATATAACATTGTACTTTTGATATAATCTTTGAATCAATGATAGGAATCACTGATTGATGAATGAATAAATCCTCATGCGTACTCTTGTATTCTTCTTTGAATCAATCCATATCAATCCTTGTAGTATTATGAAAAATAACAATTAACACATTTCCCATAATTATAACAAATAGTCATGTCAGTAACGGTAACAGTGTTTTATTCAAACCCAACGATTGAACTTTATAAGCAGTATGTTCATTGTCTAAAGAACATTGATGGGAAGCGCTGTCCAATATAAGTTTTGTGTACCTAATGCTATTCATTTAGCGGCATATAGCATATATTAGCGACTAATTCTTTGTAAAAGATATCAAACACTTTTGAAGGTCACATTCCCGAACAACCCATTGTACGTTGGTAGATCTCTGAACAATCTGTTTTTACATTGTGATTGAGTTTTGTCAACTATAAGTATTTAGATGATTGTCAACAGTGTCACACCATTCACGATCAAAGATTATACAGAGTAATGCTGAATAGATAAGTAGGTGTACTTGGAAAAGTATATTAAGAGATCTAATTAGTATTATTATCTTCACAGTATGCCAGTATTTAGTCTCTAATGTTTACTTGTTGTACAAAATGAATATTCAGTATATTCTCGTCAAACAAAATAACTAAAGATGTAACAAATCACTCCGTGATTCATGAACCCCAATGAAGAAGAATAAACGAGAGAGCATTTGTATTAGCGGACGCAAACTGTTTTACGAGGGAACAAAACAATTAATTCTTATCAATAATAAACTTACTTTTAAAGTCATCTAAATGATAAATTGCCGCCATTAAGCGTTCTCGTTCTGCAGCGACAGCTGATTCTAAATCAGCAAAATGAGCTTTTGTTAATAAGGCTTCAGTGTCTAAAATAGGTTGACCTGTTATACTGACAGCGCTGCATGTATCAATTGCAGCTAAAATTGGTCGATTCTCAATGATTTTATCACTAATCACCTTGAGAAAAAAAAAGGTGGAATAGTAATAAATTCTTTTTTTATAAAACAAATGTACTGTCGAAATAAGCTAAATTAATTCCCATATTGATGAACCTAAGTATACTCTAAAATACAAAATCTATTATTTAATATTGATTCTAATTGCTTCAAATGTTTCATGAAGAATTATATTGGATATGTTAAAATTCGTCTGAATAATTTCTGTGTAAAAATCCAGTTGTATTGCTACTATTTTCAGTTATATATAATATTAGTTGGCTAACAATTATCAAATGTCTATGAATTCTGTCTGCAAGTGAGTTCATTTTACTAAAAAGGCTATTATGTTTTCACCAAGTCAGTAAAATGTTTATCTGCCATCAGTTTTTGTTTTGCTCCTTAATTCGTACATAACTCGCTTCTTGCTGTTTCAAGCTTAGTTTCACAGTTATAAAAATATTAGTGAATGATACATGATAATATAAACTAATTTATAAGAACACAGTTTGATAATAAATTCGTTGAAAAGAGATCCCTCCTCTGAACTTTGTGTTTTTAATGTTTAGATGAGAACTATTTTCCAATTAATTTATAGGATCTAATATTAATACTAATGTTAGTACTACGACTGATAATAATAATAGTGAAAAAAACTGTATATGAATAACCGAATAATACCTTGATAACATTTTCCAGTTTTTTCAAATCATTTGGATCATTTATAATCGAAAATTGTGATAATTGTTCTTTTGATTGATGCATCCAAACTTCCAACTTTGTAATATCTACTTGTACAGCATTTGATACAGTAGCAATAGTAGGAGTTGTAGCTGGAGACAATATTGTTGAACTATCAGTTGTTGAAAATTCAGTAGTTGATGTAGATAATGGAGTGTTATTATTATTATTAGTTGTACTTGTATTATTGTTTGTAATTAATCGATCAGCTGAATCATTTTTACATGTTACATGGGTATTAATTAAAGTTGTCGCGGATGAAGATAAATTTGATAGTATTGTTGTACCAGGAAATTCTTGATTTCTACTTATCATTGTTGAACTGTTGGCTTCAGCTAGTTTAGCTCTTAAATGATCTCGATTTGACTTTGTTAAATTTCTCACTTCATTCCAATCATTGTGCAATGATTGAAGTCGATGAGTGGTAAGCTGTTTTTTTACACCAAGTTAGAAAAAAGAAGGGGTTTTCAAGTAATATGCATATACGCATTTGTTACATTGTTAATTAACTCAAAGGTTATGCACTTAAGTTTCTCAAGGATTATTGTTTATCTTCATCTTCATCAATGAGTCTAGTTAACAGTCATTTACAGTGAAAAATTGATATTTCTACTTAACCTAATCACTTATATCTGAATGGCTGTATTCTATATGACAGTGACTTAATTCAGTCCCAGCTCCATAATTTTGTCTTATTTGACCATCTCAATTTCTGTTTATCTTATTACTACCTAACCTGTGAATGTGCATAACAATTTATGCAATTTAAACTCAAAACATGTTAGTTCTGATAAATTCATAGTTAAGCATAAAGAAAGGAGAAGGTATGCAAAATGTGTTATTAGGTACAATCACCACTAGTCATCAAATTTTATGAATCTTACTGGAGTTAAAATGACTTGAAATTATCTACGTGTTATGTCAACGATTAAGATGGGAAGTAATATTGAAGTAAACTAACTATATTAATCACAATAAGAAAGATGTCTGAGATGAATCAGCTGATCGTCTTCAAATAGACTAAACAGTTCACCAAGCTCTCAGCGAAGCAAGCTCGAATAAGTCACTAGTAAACATGACTTTAACTAACCGAAATTACTATCCGACCTTTATGTTTATCTGTACCAATCGACGATAATCGTTGATATGCTTGTAAATAAATGGATGAATACTTGTAAAGTTTATAAGTAACTCCCATTATTTATGCAGGTAATCTATACCAATTTCTTCAGCTTTTTAAAGTTTCCATAACGAAGTAACGAATTTTTGAAAATCACAAGACAACATTAATGTACCTAGAACACTTAATTTGTTATTATCTGGTAAGAATTAACAAATGCACACTTTATAGATTGCATATGTATGATCGATTCTATATTGTAAGAAACCTTGATCCTCATTTTTATTTGTCCCGGTATGAATGTGTCATTGACGTCCGGTCACTAGTAAATGTGAATGGACATGAAATTTAGTCTCATACGTTATGATAAATAGACGTTTACTTTTATCCTAGTGAAGATATTCTAAATAGCCCAAGCACTCGATTGCACTTTCGTTGGACCAAAAATCCATGAACCTTGATATGAGCACAATATGATTCGCATATTATACACTTCTCATTTGTAATTAAATGAAGTTACCATTCAGCATCACAGATTTTAGAAATATGTCATTTTTAACATGGGTAACTTCACAGAGCACTGCTTCCAACAAGGACTTTGAGAAGCTCATCTCAGAGACAATCGCGAAGAGATATGAAATTTTTGTTTGATTAATTGGTTATCTAACTACTGAAGATCCATGAAGAAAAAGTCACAATGTATTTTAATATTACAGTATGTTTTTATCGCCAACCTCAAAGAATGTCAATATGTGGCGAGTGAATAACAGTCTTTCACTTATTCTAAACTTTTACCTGCTAAGCAATTAACATAGTAGAACATAGCTATCTCCAAAGATCTGTAAAAAAAAACGACGAACAAAACGGAAATTTTCCTTTTTTTCCAAATTTAACATACTTCGGCATAAGCTGGACTAAAGTACTCCAAAAGTCTGTGAGCAACCTCGTCAACTTTTTGTAAAGTTGGCTTTAACGTTTTCATATCATTTAATGCTTCACAACTTTCCTGTAGTTGGGCTTGAATAACTGGTACTGATGGTAGATGTGCTCTTGATACTGAATCCAAATAATCTGTCATATCTGCAAGCCATTTTTCGATTCCTTCAAATTGATTCTTGTTGTTCAAAAAATAAAACATAAAATTAGTTGTTATTTTGTAATTACGAATAAAACAGTTAACTGTTGTAACTTTAATAAGCGGGTACATCTAGATGACCCTATCAGGACTCAGTAGCTAAGTGGATAACGTGATGGCGTTTGAAGTGAAGGGTACTGGGTCCGAGTCCCAAAGTGCACATCAACTCTGAGATTCATGTACATCCAGCTGACGAGTCCCACAAAGGACGACACGAGCGTCCTTGATTCCACTTCTAGCCACTATCTATCTCCATTTATTATGTAAAACTATTTGAAATAATTTAGTAGATAAATGAACTTTAGGCAAATATATATAATTGGTCTAATTAAAATCATAAGAGTGCTAATCGCTACGAAAAGTAAATTTATTAGAATTTGAATGACAAAACCTATATGTATGGAATAGATATTAAATATAGGATAGATTTGAAAAGAACGACACAATCCACATATTGATTAAAGAGTGTAAACGAAGAACTTAGGAAATTTATACGAGAAAATAATTCAAGATTGTTGATTGAGTAAACTAATTGAACTTTTTTCCGGATACTTTTTACACACACTCATTCACATTCTCAACTGTTTATTGGTTATATTATTCAAACCAAGCCCTCTTTACCTTGAAAATTACATAACCACAACTCTTTGCCTCTATGTACAAGCACATATGCCATGATACAGCCCCATAAGAATTAAAATGTAACTTGTCGAAAACATATATGCTTCTGATTGGTTAATTATTAACTAATCAAATCGTGCCATGGTATAGGGAATTTTCAGCTGTCCAGTTACAAGATACATTAATCGGGATATTTTAGTTTGCGATGCTTTAATTAGATCAAAAGTTTGGGTAGTGAAATGTCTCCAGGATTTAAATTTTTTGAGTGTGGAATTGTATTTTCGTATACTATTGTCTCCCTTACTCTTGGACCAATCAAAAATGTAGTTCTCGTCGTCCAATGGCGAGCCTGTTTTCAGATAGGTAAAAACTATCGACTTCAAGGTATCATCATTCCACAAATTTTATTACCACAGGTATGTTGTTGCGTATATTTGTATCAGGCAGTGAAACGGAGAATGATCTGAGAGATTTTTCTTGGGTTAGGTTTTCAACTAAAGAATAGTTAGCCAGACAATTAACAGTTTACTTCATTGTATGAGCTAGTAATCATCATAAATTAATTCTAGCTGAGAAATGTTTGCATATTAATATAGACCCATGTAAATATTTAAATTATCACTTGCTGCATATATATATAGACATTTCATTAGGAACGTACTTAGAATAAATCCACTAAAATTTAACGATTATGACGCCAGAATAAACCCCTTTCCTTTCAAAAGCATTCAGTTAGAAATGTAGTATGGAAGTGTCTCGTTGAGTAGTTTTTTCAAACATGAATAATACATAATATACTTAACTAATTTCATCGTACTTTAATGGTTTCAAGCAACTTCTTTATACTTCAGTCATGTGATTATAAACACTTAACTTTTTACCAGGAATTTCACTTTTTAAAGTCAGCCGCGCTAAAACAAAACTACTTTTCAATTCCTTTTGGTTTTCAATGATTCCCCAGTTAATACTAATAACTGACAAAACCCAGCTCCATCTCTTCGTTTTCTTAATCAGTTTGATATCTTTGATAAATCAATTTAGAATGCATTGTTAGATATTCCCCAGTTTAAGTTATTTTACTGGAAAGGTGAGCAGAAAGAAAAATAAGATATTTCGGAGGCCATTTCTAAGGGAATTAATTTTTACATTACCTGTGCATCTATTAAAATTTTGTTCATTTGACCATTAACTGCTTTGATACCTTCAACCTATCACAAATTACAGCTAAACAACCATAAACCTATTACTCAGTTTTATATTACAAATCTCCTAGCTATACATACTCAACAAGATTTATTTGTCGTAAGTTGTTGTTTTACAATTTATGTGAATCGTCATGAGGGTTTTAGTTTGAATATGATAAAAATACAGAATTTAGTTGGCTGATAATTCCGGCCTTCTGAATGTTTCGGAAATAGATGGATGTTTAGTTGAGGAAGCAGTCATTTTTAGAATTATTGAACTCAGAGTTTTTGGTGTAATGTTGATTACGGCCTTTCATTAATAACTTTATCAGAGTTTATCCTCAACATATTCATGAATCGTACGCCATCTTGAGAAGACAATTCGAAATATGAAATAAAAAAAGTTTCCCTCAAAGATTTTGAAATTCATTTCTTCAAGATTTCTGTAGACGTATCTCCTCTAGATTTCATATTCGTAAATACAGTTTTATTTTGAACTATCAGTGATTTTATAGGATGTAGTTTAGATGTTAAGTTTCTATCTATGAACTTATGATTTCGGCCACATCGATGAGCATTGATCAGAGTTTTTTGAATATAAGTGATTAATTTTTTATGAAGTGTTGATTCTTTAACGAAGTATTAGTTTGTATCACGTTATTTGGCATTTATTTCACTTGAAAATTGGCGAATATCTGATAAATCAACTACCTATCATCTAATTCATTTATCTCTCTTATATGTAAAAGAATTAGTATTTACTATTTGAAATTAAAAAAAGAAGATTGTCTCATTCACTTACCAAAAATAATTCATGTTGTTCTGATAAATCTTGTAGAAAATCAATCCGCGTATTTAAGTTTGCACAAACAGTTTTATATTGTTCACGTAAATCTTTTAATGTTTCATTCCATTTGACAGATGAAGATGGTGAGGGTGAAGATAATTCCGGATGATTTGCTGAATTCATCTCCCAATTAGCAAGAAATTCGCTTGTAGCTTCAAAATCCTTAACCATTTTCTGTAAATGAATAAAATATCAATAATCAAATAATATTTATGAACGACCGTTGAGCAGCACTAAAATAACCTTGAGCATGTTCACTAGGTTTAAATTAAGGTTTTATATTAGTGTGAAGAATAAAGATTATGATTTACAATTGATGGTTAGGGTTAGGAATTAGATTAAATGTTTTCATCACGAACTGACATCAACTATAATGCCAAAATGGTATTCAGACAAATGAGTGAATGAATTTCGCACTAAAATCCAAGACCTGCTCTCTTAAATGTGATCGGTTCATCCTTAAATTATAGTCTCGCCCTCTGTAACTACCAAGATGATGGGTCACAATCAACTAATTTTAATCATTACAGAATAATAATTGTTTTACAGTTTTATTCATTGACTCTAGATAAAATTGGATTAATTGAGGAGCATTTTTAAGTGTTTTATCATATTCATTATATACAGGTATGTCATACAATAATCCTTGATTTGTTTCGAAGTAAAAATAAGTATTGGTAATGAAATGTCGGACTGGAAAGATCACATGATACATAAAGGTCACATAGTAAATGGTTATTATGAGTGGGTTATTGCGCTAGGCGAATTCACCATTTATACATTAATCTCAATCTATCAACTCATAAATAGTTATGAGTAATAAACACTAATTTGGCATTAAAAATTCCAGTGAAATATTAATTTTTCTACAAATTTCCAGAGGTTTCATGAAAAATATTAAAACTATTGATAATTGCATTGCTCACCTGAGAAAAAAACATATTTACTTAGTTTTAACTTACTGAAAGTATTCTAACCGTGCTAACTGGTTAAGGTTGTTCAAGGTGAGGGATTTTTGAGAACAATTATTTATATCTTCTTATGCCAATATGAACGGACTGAAATTTTTTATGTTTAAAATTCAAATACTCAACATGACAAATAAATACTCAATTTCTTTCAAGTAAGGTCTGTAAAAAGCTTAGTAAACATTCACTGAGCTTTTTCTTACAGTTATCATCAAGTCATGATTGTAATTTTAATTACGTTTACGTTTCCTAAACTAGTTTTATGGAACAAATTTCCAACAAGAGTCTATAATCAATTTTACTGTGTTCTTTTAGTTCAGTCAATAGATGAATAATACAACTGTATGAAGTGAATAATAATTGGCTTCTTTATGACCTTTATTTTCATCGATATCTAATTTCGATCAATTCTTGATACTGTGTAAATATATTTTAATCCCGTTGATGATTAGTTGCCTCAAGTACTACATGCTTGAACTTCACTGACCGAAGCTTCTTAATATAACTCTGTGGATTACCTTTTTTAATTAGTCACTATTGAACATATGATCATTATTAATTTAAAGGGATAACAAGTAAGAAGTTAGGCAGTCGATAGGTTGTTATATCATGGTCTGATTTAACTTGAAATTACATTTAACGGTTGATTAAATACACCTAGTGGGTAAACTCATTTGGGTTTAATCCATGACAGGATAGTCTGTTTGGTCTGTTGAAAAGTCACAAAATTTAGAACAAAACACTGTCCAAAGCACCCCGATTTCCAGTGATTATTTAAACAGAGTCAGTCCATAATAAAACCAATCCTCGTAAATCGATCGCTATAATCTAATAGTAATTCTGATTAATAGTAATAGCTTAACGAAAAAAGTGATATATAACGATAGGAGAAAGGATGAACTTTGCTATAAACATACATTTAAAGTGGCAAGTTGTTCATCAGCATCTTCAGGATGACCAATGGTAATTGGTTGAGAAATGACATCTTTCACTTGAACAATTAGTGATTTAATATCTTCAAATCTTTCATTAATATCTAAGAAAAAAATAGAGAGATATTTCTTCATAAAATTAAGATTTTCTTATTTAAACAAGTCAGTACATAACTGAGTGTAAATAGGTACATTTAAACAAATAATATTGATATCATTGAGTTGTATAAGAAAACTGATCAACACTGTGAGTATATTACGAAAATGTTAGAACTTTTAAATAACTCTAAAGATAAGCTTATCACTAATGTTATTGTATATTTACATGTTCGAACGGCCATAGAATTGTTTATCACAAACGTCCAATCAATCAACCAAAAAGTCGAACGACAAGTGGTTACAAATCATTTGTAATTTTGATTAACATTTCATATTATCAAATAAATATATAACAATAGTTGAAATCATGAGTCAATTGAAGCCAGACCTGAGTTCGAATCTCACGGGGGGTGGAATCGCGGATGCGCACTTCTGAGGAGTCCCATACTAGGACGGAACGGCTGTCCAGGTTTTACACGGTGGTCTAGCTTCAATTGACTCATGATTTCAACTACTGAAATTACTAAAATCTCCACGAAACCCCTTTAAATATATAACAATTTATAAATGTAGATAAAACATTTACAATACAATATATTTGTCATTTTAGAACGATAATCACTGCAATTCAGTCACTTTGATATATTTTGATGATGTAATAAGAGGACACTGTGAAATATATTAGCACAAACACTTGTTAAAAGCATTTATAGATGAAACAACACAACAAAGGATCAGCGAAACAAATGGAAGGTAAGAGCAACTTTAAGCTTACCCTAGTACTATTGTTGTTTAAAATGTATTAGAGCTAATATATCATATAATTCTGATAATCTTCATCTTCTTAGTACACTATCCAAATAATTAATGAGTCAGAAGTGTGCAAATAAATTATACATTCAATATGATTATTGGAGCTAAATTTCTATGCCTCTTAATCAATGTTTGAAAGACAGTTGAAACCTCTATACTGAATTTTCTTCTTTACATATCTTTAAATTTACATTCTATTGCTTTGATTATATTTGTTATGAAATTGAAGGCAGACTAATGTAAATCGGTTATATGAACAAAAGTTTGTCAATTGAATTGGTTCTGTGGAGCTGAGTAGGCACATTAATTACTAAACCTTAAAGATAAATATTGAAACAATGAGGTTTATCTCCAATTCACAGTGAAGATAGATACATAGCACAAGTAAACAGTGACTACTTGATAAGATTATTTGAAAATTCTACCAATGGATTGTAAATAATCAATTAGTTACATCTTAAAATCTTTTTTTAAGTTTAAATTCCATCCAGATGTTCATTATTGAACAGATTAATATTCAAATAACCTTTATTGAATTCATAAATATTGATACTCATCTATTATAAACTTTCCAAACTATAATGATTACAATCAAATTTATGTTATCACAATCATTAGATGTTTTATAATAATCTAAACTTACAATCCAAATTGTTTGGCTTAACATCGCATACTTGACATCATAGTTCTTTTTTAGATATCATGCATATTTTTATAATTGGAACGAACAAAAAAACCGAAAGACTACAATATGAGTTGCTAATGTTCCTCCTGGTACTCTCATATAGAAAACACTTAATTTGGCTCATTTCATTAAACTGATTCCTATTGTTTGAATGATCAATAACTGACTGATTTTGTGTGGGCATATATATAGGTGTCCACGTATATCTGCATGCAAACGTCGATTCTATAGAACTAATATAACTCAAATGTTTTCTTCTACAATGATCATATAATTACTTTACGAAAAAATTCAATAAAGATAACTAACTGAGTGGTTAAATCTACTGTATTCTATAGGCTGGGTATTCAGTACTTATTTAGGTCATGTTAAACATTATTTAAAGCAGATGAAGGACATTTGTGAACAGTTCCGTTAACATTATTATTATACTTAGTTTATCGATTACTTGTAACACGTCAATGTACGTATTTTATCTTTGTTTAAATGATCAAAAGTTAGTGAGATGAACACATAATAATAATAATTAATGTGATCAAGTGATTCGAAATTTGTGATATTTTACCATAAATTAACCGTCACACAAACAAAGATAGACAACTAAACAGTACTGGAAAATTGTTTCGTCGTAGTGAAGTGCATCTTAGTAGTTTGTGTGCTAACAGCCTTACATGGGTCAGAACATAGAATCATCACTTTGTGATCATAAGATCAATAGGTCGGAATTCATCAATTCACACTTGCAACTTCAATGAATGAGTTAATATGAATTAGTACACTTTAGAGACGTTACAGACACCTAAGTAGTACAAGCCCATAACTTCACCAGGGCTCGACCATATGAAATGGGAAAATAAACTGATGAATCATTGATATAATATGCTTGAAGAAAAGATTGAAGAATCAAATTATTATCTTCATTTCATTTAGTAGTGTAGCCGAAAGTAGTGACAACAGTGATAATGCTAACTCTTTAATTCAATAACAAAGAAAATGTTTCTTTTTTATTTACAAAATATTCTCTGTAGTCATCTCAACTGATGACAATGAAATCGCAGATTTCATCGAGCTATGTTTTCAAATCATAATTTTCTATTTTGATTATAATTGATACATGCTTCAAGAAAGTTTAGTATCACGGTTAACTTTCCTGCAATCGTAGGTAGTCATAAGAAATGTAGAACTTAGCTAGTTGTACATCGGTCTCAGCTCCCATACCACATTAAAAAAGGAGGATCAAATTATTAAGATGTAAAAGAAAGTCATAGTAATGATTGTAAACATAATTGAGGATAGAGAACATAATCCGTAAAGGAATTAATTTGCCATATAAAACTCAAAAGGTAATTTTAAAACTTCGGACTGAAGGAAAGACGTAAATTGAGGAAATCTGCGACGATGTAACGGTTTCTGGAAAATTTCATCCACGGTTTCTAACCATTGATCACTACAACAGAATGAACTCAAACCTGATAAACGAAATCTGCCAACATGGTTTAGACTAACGGCTATTAAATTCGTGGACTTCCTTATCCATTCTTAGCAATGCAACAGTTAGTGCTCTTATGATGCCCTCATCCTTACACGAGGTTGTGGATGTTCAAGTCTGCTGAACCCTTCTATTAACCTATTTGGGAGATAAATAGTGTTATTTTAGTCCATGATGCTTCGCTTATACCTTTATGTATGTGTGCCATCATGCTTATACAAATAAGTATGAACAAGTGATTGCATGTGACAGCCTATGCACTTATTTCTCTTCTCACTTAAATCATATGATGACTTACTCTCATGACCATAGATACTGTCAAACCACCTTTTTTTCATTTGTCACACTGTGTGTTTGGTGTGAAATATGTTAAATACAAACTATTTACACGACTTCGGTTCACCTTCTATAAACCGTACATCGTTGAGAGTTATAGTGATGACATATTTCAAGTTGACTAATATACGAAGTATGGGGATAGCCTGAAATATATTTTGCAACACCCTGATATTTTAAATATATTGTCTTCAATAATGCAAGTGTAATTAAATTGATCATTAACTGAATAAACGACTACAAATTTATGTACATGGAAGTAAACGCTTTTTAGACGCTAACAAATACATCAACATTTTATTCTTCTATCTAAACCTATTTTTATTTAATACAGTCAATGAATTCTATTCTGTCAGTTTTGATCAGTTCAGTGTGTTCTTAAAATCATTGATAAAACTGCAGTGATAGTATTGAATAAAAAAATTAATTGAATTATAGTTTTTTTATTTGTAAATTATTTAAGTAGTCAATGTTCAACAGATCAAATAATGTAAACACATAGTATAGAAAGTAATATTTTTCAAATTGATTGAAACCGTTGAAATTATTTAGTGGTATGTACTGATCATTTATTTCGGAGACAATTTTTCGTTCACATTATGAATGTTTATTAGTTTAGTTTAACAATGGTATTTTATATTCAATTGTTTGTGAAATTAAATAATTAGTTAAGTAACATAATAAAGTATATTATCAGTTTAAGGTTATGAAGATTGTTGAGTTTTAATTGAGATCATGAACTGACCAATGTTAGACTGTCATTGAATAACCTAGAAGGTAGTCGCATAATATACTGGATTGAGTACAATTAAACATTATTACAGTTGGATACTGGCTCACTGGTTTAGAGGTCGTGTTCGCGTGCAAGATCGAAGGTCCTGAGTTCTAGTTCTGGGGGCAGGATCGCGGGTGCTCACTGCTGAGGAGTCCCATACTAGGACAAAACACCCATTTGGTGCTACCTAGTTTTTACTGATCTAGTGATCGGCCCATGATCTCAAATAAAATATATTACTATGATAGGCTATAGGATCAAATTTTTTACATTGTTTGATAAAAATTTTCGAGTGTATTCTTAGCCTTATGGAAACCATAATGATCAGGAAATGTAAGCCACTTCCGTATGTACAAAAAATGTGTGCGTGAAAAGTAATTCTTCTATATTTTATCACTTCTGTCTAATATTTTCAGTTATCTATGTGGATTTATTTGATCTCTTATCTAATTGACCTTAAGTTTTATAAACGATTATGCTGATAATTAAATTCAGATTTATATCTTAAGGATGGAAAACCGAAATTCTTTTTAATCCTTCTCTAGCAGGCTTCTGTACATATCTGATGTTCTCTTGAATGTATCAAATGAAGGTATTGACATCAATTTTTCCGGTGATACATTCTAAAGATTGATCAGATCGCAATCAGATTATTGAAAAAGTATTGTTCAAATAAATCACATTTTTCAGATCAACTTTGTTTTGGTATTACATTTTCGATATTTATATAATGGAATTGGTTATTTTTAAGAAAAAATATCCTCATTACTTATATGCAAAGATTTATGAATTATATTATGTTGATATTTGTCGTGGTCTTATAGTTTTATCACAGGACTGAGTAGTCAGTTAACTTACAGCTTTTCTAATTAAAAAGTTCGGAAGCATGAATTTTGGATGTCTTATTATTCATTAGTATAGAAGACATATTACTAGTAAATGAAGCTTTTCACTAAAACTTGGCCACTGTTTATTTATACTTACATGCATAACAATGTGAATAGAGAAATCCGAACTAATAGTAATGATTGGCGTTACAATTGTGGAACGTAGAAGTTTCGAGAAATATACACATGGATACACACACACAAAATAAGACATGCATATCTATGGTAAAAATAATGATTCAGCCATTTACATACTTGCAATATTAATCTCTGATTCATTACCGGATTGAGACTTCATTTCGTTAGTAAATAATTTGGATTCTGGAATTTCTTTTATATCATCTTCATTTTTCAGTTTTAATAATTCATCTTCTTTTGATCGAGTTAGTAATGCGTGTATTTTGGCTGCTTCCTGTTGAAATTCGACACTTTGATTGGAAATTCTCATTTGACGATTTGCTTCGTTGAGTAATTTATCAAGATATGTCCACCTTTCTTCGATCTCATCAAATAGTTGATCGAGTTCTTCAATATTTTCACCGGCTATTATTTTAAGTAAGTAAATAATAAATCGGTATACTCAGTCAATAAACATAATGTATATCTAGACAAAATATATCAATTACGTTACGCATACTATGTAATCGACTAACTTAACTACTTTCATTTGTAGAGGTTTTTATCTTCCTGATTTCGGTTTTAAGGACTGCAGTTGATTATTCTCTTTTGTCATGTGTGGGAGGACTGCATAAACATTGCTTTATAATCACAAAATTAAGTAAAGTTGAAGAGTGGCTAGCAATGGAAATCAGGATATTCGCGACACATCAAATAGACATCACTTCATTTCAGTGTTGGTGTTCACAGAGTGATTCGAATTCAGTATCATTTGCTTCATATGCTCAAGGTGTTAGCCAGTGAGCTACTGATCTCAGAGCAAGGTGCTGGGCTTGAGTCCCTGTGTGAATATCAACACTAGGATACCAGCACATTCAGATGACAAGCCATAAATAGGATAAAACGTACGTTATGAATTGCACTATTAATCACCATCCAATTTTACTAAAAGTGTAGTTTGTGAGAGAAATAATCATGAAACTATCAATTTATATATCCTAGTATTGAAAGTAGAATAAATTTTGTTGAACTACATAAACACAGAATAATACTCGAATAAAACTATAGACTTGACAGAATTAAAAAATTCAATGCTCTTAATCACACCAACTAGATGAAAAAAGATTAAGATTTGAGCATAAAAACAAAACCACATTAAACAAAGTGTTAACATTTGACTCTTTTAATTACAACAAATACTATAATAATGTGATGATATTATTTGCTTTGGAGTACGTTGATCTGTTTTTAAAAGTTCAAATAACTGAATAATTAATTCAAACCAATGTTCAGCAAATCCCCAAAGTACTTCAAATCTTTGCGTCTTGTAGAACAATTATAAGGTCATATTAAAAATATATAGATAACCATTACAATCATCGTTATTATTACCTTGTGATAATTCATCGCGATATTGCTCTCCTAGGAGTAGGACACGTTGTTTTATATGCCGCCAGTCTTCAAGTTCCTTGGTTACACGATTAATCACTCTGATCGCATCATCGTCACCATCATTTTTTTCAGAATGAGGGGATATAATATGTCGACCTAAAACTTGAGTTTGTCCACTGGCTTCAAGTGCACGACGTTTATCCATTGTGATTAATTCTAAAATCTCTGCACTATTATCCAACCAGTTTAATAGTTCTTCAGCTTTAGACTCAAATTCTGCACGATAACCTGTTATTTTCGAATAAAAATTTGGGTTGAAATTATTTTAACATCCTAACACTAACCGTAATGAAAAACTCTAAACACTTAAACAATACTACATAACTTGGAGATTTCTACTACCGAGTTAACAGTTCCATAGCTAATTGATTTATTGTTTAGAAATTATGATCACAATAATAAAACTTACAGGACAACGTACTTCTTACTAAATTACCTGAAACTTCATTTTAAATTGATAACCTGTACAGTCACTCAGTTCAAGAGTAAAGCACATTCTTACTGATAAATTGCAACGATATTCCCCATTTTAAACAAATTGATTATACGTAGGCTTCAATTGTTAAATAGTGTCATACTTACTACGCAACTTACAGACTCTTAGCTCAGATTTGTGTAATATCATGATAAATGACCACAAATTATAATGACAAAGAAGCTGTTTAAGTCCTTTTCTGTCCCTATAGACAGTCCTCCAACTGACATAAACTTTTATGATGAAAACTATCTTGAAACTCACTGATTCAGTGTATTCGATATGTGACTAATGGTAAAATCCAGGACGCAGGTTCCATTTTATTCTTAATTCGTCAGGTGTATGTGCCTGAATCTTAGTCTTGAAACACATTGAAACTTAAACTCTATACCTCTCACTTTAACCACACAATATGTTATCCTTTGAGCTACTGATATTTCAGATAACTAGTTAACAATAAAGACTGATCAATTGCGGTCCTGATTATTAACAACGAGAAAATATAAACCCTTAACTAATTTCTTTTGATTTAGTTTAGGGTATTTGAATACATATATTTTTGAAAGTTTTAAAATGTCATCGCTTTTAAAAAATGATGAAAAGACATATTCCAATAAAATAAATTTAAAAAAACGGTTATTTCTAACACCTTGAATATTAAAATTATGGAAACTAATCTACATCCAGTAATAAGGATTTTAAAATAATGACCAGATATTATTACTAGATCTTTTCAAATATCAAAATTATTTATTCGGTCAATTTGCTGATTTATTATAGAACTTTAAGCATTTTATTTAATCAGAGATTATCAGTATGAAGTTGTAAAGAATTTTGAGTTTTTGACTGAGATCATGAATTGATCAATATCAGACCACTACTAAAAACATAGAAGCACTGGCCGACCGTTTCGTCCTAGTATGGGACCTCTCAACAGTGAGTGTTCATGATCCCACACTCAGTATTCGAATCCCGGACCTTCGGTCTCGTGCGCGGACGCTTAACCTCTAGACCACTAAGCCAGCATCAGAGATTATTGATCAGAAAATATTGACTCGTTATTTATAGTCATTGGAATCGAACTTTGATGTTCGATAATAAGTAGAATTGCTTTCTTCTAACTAGTAATACTCATTCCCATTTATGTGACATCAGACAGTTATTACTTTAAAAGTTAGATAATATAACTATACTTCAATAAGATTCCTTTTATTTCAATACAGTAGATCAATGTGAAGATGTCAATCATTCAGTTAAATAAAAATATTTAAAAAAAACTTGTCAGCCAATGAAACACAAATAATTGCCTCATTTAAATTGCATGTGAAATTCATCAAAACATTTATCACCAGTGTACAGATGTTCATTAAGTATGGCGTACCAAACACTTCTAATAGTTTTGTTCACTCAGTAACTGGAAGAATGTTACTTATTGGAGTGTAGTTTTCACTGAAGATTATATAGCAAAACTATAATTTATTGACGAACCAGTCACATTTAAGAGAGCAGGTCTTGGGTTTTAGTGTGAAATTCATTCACTCATTTGTCTGAATACCATTTTGGCATTATAGCTGATGTCAGTTCGTGATGAAAATATTAAATTTAATTCCTAACCCTAACCATCAATTGTAAATCATAATACTAATTCCTCACACTAATACATAACCCTCATTTAAACTTGGTAAGTAGGTGAACATTCCAAGGTCATTTTAGCGTTGCTCAAAGGTCGTCCATAAATTATAGTCTTACCGATTAAATTTCATTTTATATCTTTTATCAAATTAAAGTGTTTTTTTATCCGGCCTACAAAGCTGTGATACACTAGACGTATTCACAACAAATAATTGGGGAAAACGTTAGCCTAATTAACTCAGCATGAATTTATAATGTTACCAACTGTATTTGCGTAGTGTACAAAGGAAATATTCAAAGAATAAGGCTGGTATTTTTTGTACAGTTTTCGCAATGGTATTTATGAATAATCAGTCATTGGATGAGCACTAATTTAAATCATATTGCTCAAATAGTGTTGGTTATTAAGAATACATCTCTGCTACATAACAGAACTTTTAACTGTTATTATAAATGTAATCATAATAGTATAAATTTTTTATTCAGAATGGTAGCATGCGAAGATTCGTTTTTACGATGAACTGATTTCAGCTGAAATATTTAAGGGAGCAATCAACAACTTTTGCGTCTTTTGTAATTTTTCACTACAGATTACGTCGAACAACACTTGCAAACCATAAGGAGCTGAATCGCTTTTTTATCATATTAAAAAAATTTTCAGCAGCATGAGTCCACAACTCAACCAGGGACCAATCTCAGGACCATCACGCCTTGCAGTGGACGGATAATCTACAGATCACAAGATCGACATCCAGTGGTTTAGGTTCATAATCTCAGCCAATTTTTTATGTTGCTCGACTACCTTCCATGGACACTAATAGTATTTGTCTCTCACCTAACGTGGTTGAACTTCAATGGTCATAACGTTTGGTAAGAAACTCGTTAATCATCTCTTGAAATTATCGACCAGTTGGCACATATCAAATTTTCAGCGTAGCGGGTTATGGAGGTTCTTAAATATTTTTAATTTTACAGTGTTGACTGACTTTATTCTCCATCTTTCCTTGGTGTTTTATGTATCGCGTATCGAAAACTCGATCATACATTTCTGCCAAGATGATACCTTTTTCCGCAGTGTATTATCATATACCTATGAGTTATATATTGTTCTCCATTTATTGCTAAGTTATAGTGAGGATTATCTTGAGAAGTACATTTCGGTAAGAAATGGTTCAAAAGAAAGTTAACATTTATAGTTGTTTTCAATGAAAGGATTGTTACATTGATTGATAACTGATTGGTAACTAAAGTTATTTTAATCAACACCTTAACGATAATTGAATCCTATCTATGAAGCTAGTGTCTCCACCAGTCTAAAGGAATCACATCACTCACACTACGTTTTCATGTTAGTTAACTGAAACGATTTACTATAATTGTCTGTCTTACTGGATGTCAGTCGCGGCCTGACTAACTAATGTCTCATACTATGAGATTGAGTGACACGTGTTTGAAACACACAGGAAGTACCAATCTCTTCAAGATTACATGCACGCCTTCCTGACGACTGCTAGCTATCATAAAACCTAGGTCCAGGGTTTCCTATAGTCTACAGTACAGTTTTATTTAAATTTGGAGTTCACATATTGTTTTGTTATTTGTTCAACCTCAGAAAGAGGGAATATAAGTTTTTGTAAATAATTCAGTGTCACAATACCCTATCCATTTCTACCCTCGTGATCAATAAAGTCAACCACATGAACCCTCATTTCGAGTAAACATAGAAATATTGAAGACTCAATAAAACAGTGAGTATAATTCAGTTCATAACTCACCAGTTGGCGACGGTGGAGGTTGCATGTCAAAACGCGAAATTTTTGTTGCTTTATGAATCGTGAGATGACCACTTTCTATTGATCGTTTAGCTTCTGACTGTGAATTCTGAAAAGAAAGCACATAAAAAATAATGTATAAAAATGCTTACAATTAGTGATAAGACTTTAAACTATACAAAATCAATATTATTTAGAGTTAATAAACAGTAGATATTACCTGTTGATTTCTTAAAGAGCTATTTGGAACGTTATTCAATAGACCTTTTTTAGTTGTAGATTCAACATATTTCTCAATATCTGTTATATCTTTCTCTGGCCAATCTTCACAATTGATTTGCGGATCACGTAGTTGACTCCAACGTGACACTAATTGGTCGACAATCTTTTCAACTAGACGACTAACACTGTCTGTATCACCACAAGCTTCACGTATAGCTTGTGCACGGCGATCTAAGCTGGCGAGTAATTGTGCCCACCGGGATTCGTGCGGTGATAAACAAGCCTTGAAATAACATAAAAAAGAAATCAATCAAAGGAGAAACAGTTGAATGTACACGACGTATTTCAAAAAAAATAATTAATCATGAAAATAATCTTACTTTATTGTAACCTAAATTATCAAGTCAGAATGAGATTGGCTTGATGCTTACTTTACAAACTTTCTATTGTCAGGTTAATCAATACCTTTTTGAGCACTTATATTCAAGTATACAAGAGCATACGTTTGTCTTCACATAACATATTATAACCTTAATTTGTGAGTACTTGTTTTATTGTAGTTACTATCAAAGTTTTATTAAGGTTGGTTCATAATGGATAATAATCTTTTTGGCAAGCAAGTAAGGTCATTCACTTTTATTAAAAGAATTTGGTCTGGAATTTATATTTAAACTTTTTTGCATATCCAGACATGATCATTCTGAACTTACACTGAGCTAAAAAGATCAATAATACAGTTAACCCACATATTTATTACCTTTTTACTACAGAAGGATGGTTTGTAAAACAACAACAATTCAAGTTTAAGTTAGTTTATTTAGTTCAAGAAAGAATAGTTTTCAGGTGAGTACTAACAATGCGCGAAATGAATGGATTATTATTGTTTTTTCTGGTACCATCTATCCAATTTATTTATTACAGAAGGTTTAGTCAGAGATTAGGTTTCAAAATGATGGAAAATATTTGGTTTTATTCACCGGGATACTAAGGTTATCACACAATTTTATGTTGTCAGTAAATGATTCACAATACATTATTCAATAATGATTGAGAATAGAGTGGCAGGTCTAAGAGCCATTACTCTGAAATGTAAAGTTTCAAATGTCCACAGTTGGTGTTGATCTTTCTGAGTTGAATGGTTCACTTGTAAAATTTTCATTATATCTCTATGCAATACAATGCACACAAATTAAGAGAAGAGGTGTAATATTCGACTATGTCTGTTAGGATGGACTTAGTATATACCTTCGTGATTGAGTTATATTTGTTAGTTGATGACGTTTAATCTATCGATGCTGTAAATTGTATACATCCATTAAATTACTGATTCATTTATGTCAGTATATTTTTGTAAAGTTTTGACAAGCATTTGGATCAGTTACAGGTTTATTGTTATTACATAATAAATTCTTCATCCGTAGTTTTTACTTCTTCCTCGTGTCGAGTCAACCGGTGTTTTGTCCACTTACAGTAGTCCTCATTTATAATTAACACTTAGCTCCAACAGGACCAAAGGCCCTGAGCTGGAACCCCGCGAGCAGGATCGTGGATGGGCACCGTTGGGGAGTCCCATACTAGAACGAAACGATTGTCCAATGCTTCCAGGTTACGTAAAAGTGTATTAAGAGCCGGAACAGAACTTCAAGCTCTTCTCTTTATTTATTTAATAATACAACAGATATATACGAATTTAGTAATAATTGGTTAAAAATAATCTTATTACTAACCAAATTAAGTGTACGATATGATAGATTCGAATTCTAAGATGAGGTTTATTTAATCACCTGTTTGATGACAGAAGCATCTGCTTTTGCCAATTAATGACAGTTATTTAGTAAAATTACGATATCTTCATTAAAACAATTGTAAAACCATACTTGATTTTTCTAACATATTCGTATCAGTTGAACAAATATATTGTTCTATTCACAACATTTTTCTCCTAAACAACCATGATTACTGTCACTATTATCTTTAATGAACTTTAAACACTGATGTTAGTGCATTAAAATCAGAATCATTCACACTTATTTGCACCAGTCAACATTTTTAATGTAATACATTCATTAGTGTTATATGGGCAATAGTCATAATGGTTAAGTACTATCATGCATTTAGAAGCCATAATTGTTTTTCTTTTAATTGTTAAATTTCAAAAACTGAAAATTTATTTCATATTTTTAAATTAACATTTTAGAAATTTTTCTCTAGATGTAAATATGTTTACATGACGGTAATCTATAATTTATCATTCTTATGAACCGTTCAATTAATTAACTAATTTGATATCACGATGAATTGGATTTCATTTCAGATACTTCATGGTTGTCAGTAGGAAATTGTGTTCAATGTGATTTTATACACTTGTAGTCAATAAGGAGTTAGGGAGATTTTCAACATCAAAGTATCATGCATTAGAAATTTGAATAAATACTACTAACATAAAGATATAGTTTAGATCGTTTGAGTTTTAAACGATATAAAATATTTATCTTTACTGAATCTTGATAGAGTAGTAGGTTACTTCTTGAATTAAGATCAATCAAAGTAAAATAAAGACAGAAATTATTAGCGGTTCAAAGCTATTTGATTACAGAGTATCAGGTAATGTATGGGAGAAATTATACGCAAACCAACATGAACTAATCATCGTAATTACTCGAAATCTCCCAAATGAACTAGTGAAAGACAGGTAATAACTAGTGAGTATTTAATTTTCTTATACACAATCTAGATTATTTAAAGGATTTAAAGAAGGAGATCAAGCTCTATAGAATATTGTTACAAAACTGTTGAATCGGTTGATTAAAAACCAATATATAGGTTTGGATATGCTGATGCCAATTCACTGGAAGTAGTTGACAAAAAAATCCTGAGCCTGAGTTGACACTCGTCAGTAATGTGTATTTTCAATCTCGATGGAATTGATGATACCTGCAGGATTTGAACCCAGGCTACCCAGCTTTGTAATCTGAGATATTCGAACTTTTTCATAATTCTAACGTATCCAGAATTAAAATACAACAATATGGAAATAAATTTACTATGATTCTTTCATATGTCAATAGTTTACCAAAATTCCATATTTCACTAATATAACTCTTCACATTTAAAATATGATCTTTATATAGTGTATTTTATTTCAAATTATTTCGAATTACTATAAGAATGCAACAAATAATTGAAATGGAATATTTATTCACTTGAAAGATTTACCAAAAATATATTCATTTATTTAAGGCTACTACAACGAGTTGTAGCATTACAATTACTAAGTAAGATGAGACTATAATTTATGAACGACCTTTGTGCAACGCTAAAATAACCTTGAAAATGTCCACTTACCAGGTTTAAATGGATGTTATATATTATGATTTATAATTGATGTTTAGGGTCAGGAATTAGATTCAACATTTTCATCGCGAACTGACAGATAAAATGTTAAAACGTTATTTGGCCAAATGTATGAATGAATTTCACGCCAAAATTCAAGACCTGTTATCTTATATCTGATTGGCTCGTCCATAAATTATAGTCCTGATCTTAGTAATTCAAAATAAAATTGATTTTGATGCCATTTCTTTATTGCAAAACCTATATGAGGATTTTTCACAATTGAATTTATTACTACCTATTCATTTATTTACTTGAAGTAATTTCGTTCTAAATGTATAATCAGATGTGTTTTGATGATTAATACTATTGTGTTCAAATTGTAGGCAGTTGATGAGGAACTGTGAGGTAAAATGAATTCATATTATTCTGTTACTTGCAATATCTTTGCGTTAGTCTAATTTATCAGTGGGAAAAATTATGACATAACTCACCGTAAATTATCATACAAATATATAAGACGTTTAGTATAAAAACAATTACTAACTTAATTATTTAGTTAAAGGTTGAGGAGAAATTAGTTATTCTGATAGAATGTACTCGTTACAGACTGATCTCATGCTGTGTGCCAGTTAAAAAAGAAGGAGAACTAGACAAATATTTTTGTTTTATTATGGCAGCGCGAACCCGTGATGTGAACTAAGGGTAGAACAGAGGACGTTCGGGTCTTTCATAAGGCTCTTAACCATTAAAACCACTTCATCAGCTTCCAACAGTATAATTCTAACTTTAATCATTTCGCAAGATAAAGTGGAATGAATATCCAATCTCAATGGCGACAAGTGCTTTACTCCTCATATATCTGAACGCACTAGAACTTTAAAAATATTTTTAAATAATTCACTAGTGAATTAAATATTATGGTTTATCAGAAGGGTTTTTGTGTCGATTTGAGTAATTTCGTGGATTGGTTAAAATTAGACATTAACATCGTTGGATACCGGCTCATTAGTCTAATGGTTAAACGATTGCGCGCGAGACTGATAGGTCGTGGGTTCGAATGTCACAGAGGGGGGCGGGATCGTGGATGCGCACTGCTAAGGAGTCCCATACCAGGACGAAACGGCCGTCCAGTGCTTCCAGGTTTTCCATTGTGGTCTAGCTTCAATTGACTCATGATTTGAACTATTATGGTTTAATTGGAAGGGTTTTGTTTAGATTGGGGCAATTTGTAGTCGTTACAGAGGAAATACATACCAGCATGAAATAAATATCCGATGCTCTTTGGATTTAAATGATACGTCAACTGAGATCAATTTCTGATGAATACATTTTACAAACTCAATTGTTTACCAAATCATGAGTAGAAAGATTTGACGAAATACATTATAATAAACTATCTATACACACGAAACTTTATGTGTATTTATACTTACATAGAAACAGAAATTGGAATAGACTTATATATATATATATATATATATATATATATATATATATATATACTTGTTTATACACAAATAAGGCCAGATACACGCATACACTCACACAAGGTATACGAAAAACAATAATAATAAAAAACATTGATCGATATACATAAAATTCCGTTCATACTTTTATGTAAAATTCTATTTTATTAATTTTATAACCAATAAAGGAATTAAAATCATCAGGATAGATTAATTCTTTGTTTTCTTTTTTTTTGCTCATTTTTGTTGTTGTTGTTGTCGTTATTACTATTTGCTGTTTCATTATTTCTGTTAATAAAATGTACTCCTAAGTGATAAATTTATTTTTTGGAATAAAGATAAAAAGATAAGAAAATAAACAAAGAAAAGAAAAACGAATCGTTTATTGTATTTAGATTGACATAATAAACTTGAAACTGATTTGATTTATATTGATTTATAGAAATTAGTTAATTTATTAATTAATGAACGTAATCTTATT